CAAACCTCTCGATTTCGCAGTGGCTGGAGAGAAGCTCGACCTCGGGCCACCGTATTCGAGGAATGTTGAAATCGTCCATAACCAGGAATTGTGGACGACTCATGCGGTTGCACCCTTCAGGCAACCAGTGCAAGCTGCGGGTCAGTGGACTGTGATACACAACACCCATGGGGAGTTCGCCGCCTCTCAGGTGAATCGAACACCATAGCTGCTCACACAGGCCACCACCGCTTCTGTAGATACTCACCAGTCTCCCGAACAAAGAAGGCCGTATGAATCTACCTGATATCTACACCTGTAGCCAAACCATTGACAATCCTGCACTGATGTGGCTACCTCGACTGGTGATGAAATGTTTACAACGAATACACAAACCCCGCAAAACACGTGCTACTGAAACGTCTACCAAATACAGGGATGGTTTTCGAGTTCACAAAACTTTCGCAGCGCTTGTTTTCCCCGTATTTTGCCCGCTTCGCATGAAAGATTTCACTAAGGCCTGTGCAATCACTGAGCGCAGTAAGGTCCTTGATCTAGTCTATACCTTTGGCACCTGGTTTGCCACACGCTCCTTTCTTTGCACGACAACCACCGTGTTGTTTCCTTAGGCCGACAGACTGTTGAGTGTAGGTACCTATTCAGAGCAGTTCAAATAATCGGCTGCTGCGATGTATTCTTTCTATCCGTCAATCCGGTAGGTTAACCTCTCTTCTCTGCTGTTTCCATTCTCCTTTACATACAAACTGTCAATTCTGGACAGATCTGACAGCCTCTCACCTGCACGACTAAAAGCATTCCATTAACACGGATACAAACGCCAGGTTGTGTCACAATTCTTGGTTTACAGAGGCGCGCTCAATATTCGAGGCGCAAACGATTGTGAATCATGGAGGTCTTCTTATCACCCTTTGCGAGGATCTCACTCTCTTACTTACTCAGATTTATGGGCAGAAGGACACTTACGCAACTTATCCCGTTTGATTCCCATGAAAACCTCCATGTCATCCGGTGCAACTGTAAAACTCCGAGGACCCACTGCAGAACAAATTCACGAGGAATGCCGAAAATCTCCATCCTGTACCGAATATTTGTCGACGGCTCGATCACGAGTAATTTCGGTGGTCAGATGGATAGCCGAACCAGGCATGTTGAGCACAAACTTTACGTTAATAGTCGTATTGCTATTATTAGTGCAGACGACGTGATTTGGCTGCAGATATTGGTAGCAGGCAAATCCTGGGATGCAAATCTTCAGGCTGTTATTCTGGCCTTTACATAGGATCCTGGTGTTTCTGGCGTTGTTTCGCCTTGTTCGGTTATCCAGGATTGTAATCACCAGTACTTGGTGGACTACCACGGGTTTTGCGAATATTGTGGCAATGTGATTGTGATTCCCGAAGTTCAGCTAATGCAAATGCGTGAAGTTAATTGCCTGGGTTTACAGCGACCGCTCTGTTTTTTGCACGCTCGCTGGATTCCTGTATCCAGACCATAAATTTTCAGTTCACTTGAACTCCTTCTCTCTGCATGATTCGAACGGGTCAGTGTTAATGTGCATGAGAAATTTTAACGATACTCACAGATTAGTACTTAGGTGCCATCCATGACAATCAATGGAGCATTCAGCCGTGTCTGCTTGATAGAATTCACAAAAACGATTGTAGCGATTTCTTTAAGCACACCAGTTGTTCTCAAATCCGTTATATATATATATATATATATATATATATATATATATATATATATACCATTTTCACTTTAAATTGGACAGAGGATACTGATAGGTTTATCCCATTCTCTCTCAGGCGCATCTGCAGCTGCACCAACGTGTCCCCAGAGTGCCGTTCAACCGCTTCTTCGACGCACTGCAATACATTGGGAGTCAGCTTCTCCCTATTGTTTCCACCGCAGGTGCGCTGTGTATTTGAGCCTTCTCGCTTGTAGGCATTAATGATGTTCCTTGTCGTACTCGCGTTAACACCGGCGACTTCAGTGGCTTCCCGAGTAGTTTTGCCGTCGACCAGCACAAGTTTTGTGAGAATTTCTCTTTGCGCAAATGATGTTCGCCTGCAGTGCCGTCGCGTCGGACACCAGCTCTCCTGCTGTTCGTCACTCATTTTGGTCGTTTCGTGCGGCACGGAGCTGATAAAGCTAAGTTGTGTTGAGTGGAACCATTATCGTATGCTCAGCTCCAATAGTGGTACCGCTGCATAGGTCAGTCCACACACCCAGACAAAACACACGAATTCCTATGGGGGGGGGGGTGTAGGGGAAAATAGGTCACCGATTTTGACCGAGGCGAACGGCACTCATGTCAAGAGAAGGGCTTACACAATCACCCGCTACGTACGCAGTTCGGTTACATTATCGTGACCACAATGTGGCCTGAACATCGTGTAATCGGCCCACTCCTCAGTAGTTGATATGTTGCAACAGTAGGCTACAGATCTAGACTGGTTTTGCTGGGGGTCATTACAGCCTACGCTGATACAATAACGTGGCAGTTGCGAAAGCTAATAGAGAGACGGGCGAAGCTGGGACACCGCCTATCTGCTTCATCCAACATGGTCCCATTGACCGAATCGGACAAGGTTCCCTCTAATGAGAATAACGGTGCACATTGAGATTGCGCATCGCAATCCAGTCACAAAATGATTGATACACAATTACGATTCGGACGTCCGATTTTCCAATTGTCACACACCTACACAGGTTGATGCGTATGGGCACTGCACACCAACTAGGCGAATGTCAATGGGGAGAGAGGAGCGTAGTTCAGAACTTCGGTCGCTGCTCACGATGAAGCAAATGTTTTACAGTGTAGCCCGCTGCTTACACAATGCCGGTGTATTAGCGTTATCATAATGTATATTCTGAACATCATTCAGCAGTCTTACTGCTCGTTTCTTACCAACAAATTGGCCAGTTGCTACTTAGATTGCAACGTGTCCAATTTGTTTTGCAAAATGTCCAGTTTGGTTTGCAAAATGTCCAGTTTAGTTTGCAAAATGTCCAATGTGGTTTGCAAAATGTCCAGTTTGGTTTGCAAAATGTCCAATGTGGTTTGCAAAATGTTCAATGTGGTTTGCAAAATGTCCAATGTGGTTTGAAAAATGTCCAATTTAAAGTGAAAATGGTATATATATATATATATATATGGGTGGCTCGAAACGGCACTTAGAAAATACAAAAGTGCTTCCACTAGTAGATCACTTCACCATCAGTGTCACGATTGACCTCCTCGATGGGTTTCTTTGACAGTTCTCGCTCTGAATTCGGTGCGTTTGATACCCACAATCAGCCTTGTATTTTGACGGCATCCACCTAACATTTATTTACGGTCCCCTTGTCAATCTTATTGTGTCTACCGACCTGAAAAAATAGTGACATGTGGCCTCCCTAACTACAAATCGCGCCTATCCACCTTTTAGGTGTTAATATTAATATTAGATTTGCTTGGTTGCATGATGTGGCATTCAACAAATATTGAGCAACGTTTGTTCTCGGAAGTTGGGTCAGTAGTTCACTTTTCAAAAGGTCACTTCTAGTTGGGATATGCTGTTGGCTGAGCAGTGGACTTCAAAGCGACCGAATTTGTGTCCATTTTAATCCACATGGAAACTGCTCAACTTCAATCTTACAGACATTGATCTAACACAATTACCACTCTAACACAAACACCGAATCTATGTGGTGTATAACGTTTTCCCACCTAGGATGCTGCTTTTTCTACGCGCTCACTGGTTCAACTGTTGTGAGTAATAATTCCGAGTTTAAGTTTACACGCCAGTGTGATTCAATTTCGACAATCTCTGCAAAATCACATCCCCAAACCATCCTTCTTGATCGGTCGACTAAGGTAAACTAGTTGGTAATCATCTACAAGTTAGGTATTCTGCATCCAAATTGAGGGCTATTCTAACACAGTTGCGTTAATCTATTTTTCTATTGGCCCATCTTTTTGTGAATGACCGGTTTGTCCCCATCTGGCATTTGCCTACTACGAGTTTAAATCAACCGCCAGCGCCATACTGGTTGCGTAGAATTTTCGCTGAATTTCACATGGTTTGTCTAAACCTCGAATGTATCATTTGCTGGTAACCCCGAGTGAACTAGCGGAATAGCACAGCGAAATCTAGTCCATTTCACTCTCCATTTCATTGGTTTTATTCTGGTTGGTGATACGCACTTCAATCGGGCAGTGGCCGACTGTGAAATACGCAATCCAGGCCTGGCAGCCCTAGCACAAGCTAGGTCTTGCAGCACTCGAGATTCCACAGCGGCGAGCCACAAAGAACGTCAAAGAGTTGTTAAATCTTACTTATCAACTTCGACTGAGGACCCTATACTTATACAGCGGCCAGTACGGGCGCCTACATGGCCACCTTATTATGGCATACCAGATTCTAAGGAACCTGGACCACGTCTACTGCCACATACTACAACTGACCCACAACACGAATGTAAGGGGTCATCAGCTCAAGTTAGCCACGCAATACAGTCGGTTGGAATGTCGACGGAACTTTTACTTTCTTCTTGTGTGCCAGCCATGGAATACCCGACCAAATTACATGCTTTCCGCCCCTACTTTGCCTGTGTTTAATTAACACCTTGATGTTGTCCTAACCCACCTATATTACGAGATATGACATGTGTGTCTCGACAGACGATGTAATGTGACAAACGTTGCACAACCAGAATTAACCTACACAACCGAGGTTGGCGCTTTCTACATATCTGTTTGTTTACACTTTAGTAAGTTCACAAAAACGATTTTCATCTTATCACTATTCTCTTTTCACCATCTTGCGGTTCTCTTTCTGGCCATCCCACAGGATTTGCTAAGGATCCGCTTTTCTGACCATAATATACCATTGTTCTATTGAATGTATCTGGCTTGTCTAAACTGCTAGCCTACCACTTATTGGTAACCGCATGGACCAGCGGAACCTCCCTTGAAATAAGTCGATCTCATTCCCCTCTCTGTTGCTTTTACTCAGGTTGGTGAAACGCGCTTCAATCGGGCAGCGTTGTTCAATGTTGCCTTTATCCAATCCAACAAGATGGCCGACTTCGACTGCTTCATCTTTCATGATGTTGACTTGCTCCCAATGCAAGACAATCTGCCATATCGCTGCAAGCAAAGTGGACCTGTTCACCTCTCAGCAGCAATGAACAAATTTGCCTTTAGGTAAGTCACATGCCCAAGCTATTGTTGCTTTTCCGATACTTTGGACCGACTTCCAGTGTTTCATACAGTGCACGTCGGATCAACAGAGAATCATCAGAGAAGTCTTCAATGCATCAGTACAGTTGTAGGTTTTCTTGTTGTTACTATCTAGCCCGAATGAAGAATCGAAGTTACAACTAGTAGGACTGTTTGGACGAGTACACCACAAGGCGAATGGTGACACTTCGGAAATATTAGTTCAGTGAACACTCAAAAGACGTTTTATGCCCGTTGCACAGTATCAAATTCGCAACTCGTTTGAAATGAATATCGCCAGCTTAAATGAAACTAGTAGGGAAGGGGGAGAAAGTCGATTTATTCCCTGTGACATTTCATTGGTTAGCGCGGTTTACCTGTTGATAGTGCCCCAAAGTTTAGACTAAATATTTGCACTGGAAAACATTCGCATTTCACCAGTGGGGGGAGGGACTGGTGTAGACCCAATATGTTTGAATTCATGTAGATCATGGTGTCGAATTACAGCCTAGCATCAGCCAAAGACGGTTTTCTGTAAGGCGACCACCATCTTCCCACCATTTACGGTAGGATTTTCCATTGCACCAATAAATAAAAGACTATGCATGAGTGTGACAGGAATTGAAAGGTAACAGCTCTAAACTTGCTGTTGGATGCCACTCAGTTTACTCCTTTCAGTCAATAAAGAGTGGTGCTTTTTGTGGTCTACTTTCACCAACGGCGTCCTCGGAATTAAGTCCATGAAGCTTGTATTCTTGTAACCGAAATTAGTGCTTACAACATAGATCTACCGCCGGAATGCGTGAAGGGATGATTAATCACGGGAAGGTCCAAATCAACCAGAGTAGAACTAGAACAGCTAGTGCTCTAGAGGAACATCCGTCGGATTGGAGTCGATCCCATTCGCCGGTTGACCTTGACAGCAAAAGCTCGGACTTTAGATAGACGCTCTTCAACCGAATGAGTACTAGACATCATTGCAAACCTAAGCGAATCCTTTCAATTGCAGTGCTGTTGACCTATGAGCATGCTTCCGATGGCCATCAGTAACTACTCGATCCATATCACAGTGTAAATTGCTTGCTCATGAATTATAGTCGTTGCTTGGAGGGTCATTTGATGTATTTGTTGTGTGATTGGATTGCGACGCGCAATCTCAATGTAGACCGTACTTCGCACTGAAGAGGAGTTTGGCCAATTCGCTCACTAGAACCGAAGCAGAAGCGCGTAGGAATTGGGTGTTGCCCGCCCGAAAACACTGCGCACCTCGACGCGTTTCGACTTTGGTTTATTTCATCAGGTGAAGATGGCATACCTCAAACCCGGGACCACTGAGAGGTTAGTTGGAATCTCTGCCTCTTTAGCCACGCGGTCACGATGGAGACCGCTTGGCATAACGGTTACTGACTGATATGAAGGTCATCGCTGCTATTTTACTAGGCAACCGACCAAACTGAAGAGCAAAATCTTACACCTAGACTTTGATTAGCAAGGGTCGTCATCCCCTTATACCTCCCAAATCGGTAGCAATGACACACTGAAACGCAGTTGTCTAACTCATCAAAAGTACTGGCAAGTAAATACCGTCGAAGCGGTGGATGTCATCGGTCCAACGGCAGAAAGGGATGGTTGAGAACATTAGATGATCGGAATATACGACACGAGTACCCGGAGTAACTAATCAAAAGACTACATGGCCCCAACTGAAAAATTCTTACTATTCCAAATGTTGGTCCATTTTGTTCTAACTAAGCAAAGAAACGGTTGTAGTCATCTTTAGAATGTGGCTCTTCAAGTTGTTCTTCTCAACAGGCCTGCATCCTGAACCCCCTATGGAGTCAAACGGAAAAGATGAGTAAGCGTGATTGTGCTCACAGATGTGCTCAACTTGAATATCGATATCCTGGGATGGGGGAATGAATAGACCTCTCTGATGCACTAAACATGGGGGACGTTCAGAGAGTTAGTGGGCTCGCACACTTGCAAGCATTCCTGTTTCATAATTTTAACACATAATTAATTTGTCTCATTGTGAGAGTATACATGATACCTTGGACACATCATTTAATTTACTCGTGTATTCTACAGCTCCGTTCTAACCTCGCTGTGTGCAAAGGGATAAAATCAATAAATTTGAGAAGTTGAAGCGTTCATTACTAAAAAATTTCATAAAGATGTCAGTAATATTAGGAGACAATGCTCTTTCACAGTGAACAGTCGCTAAGTGCCACAGGGGATCTAAACGGAGTAGAGAGTTATGTGAATATACTGACCGTTTTAGACTGCCATCAACGTCGGTGACCCTAGAAAACGTTCGAAATGTTAACAAAATCTTAACTCCAGATCTTGCCTCAACTGACCTTCACTAGTTTTCTAGTCTCAAAGAACACATAGCAGAAAATTTGCCTGTTATTCAAACGTCATTTCAGCTGTAGTGGAGTGCCTACAGGGGAAAGATTCCAACTCTTAAAGCAAAGTTATCTTATCCTATTGAAACAACGAGGGATAAAGTGTGTTGGTCAAATGATCACGTGTTAAAAGATAACTGTTAAACTTTGTACTACTTGCCTTTAAATGTCAAGCAACCAACTTTTCTGACGACTCGTAGACTGAGCACACTAGTTCTAAACAACTCAGGCTGATATCCCTAGCCTTGTGCATCCAAGTGCACAAAAGCTGACGTTGAATGGGGAGGTTGCTTATCGAACCTAGCACAGGGTCACCGGTTCCATAGCTAGAAAATTTGTGAAGAATGCGGTTGTTCAGGCTTTCAAATGCACTTGAAGTTCATAATGCGACGTCGGCTCCTACTCTGGCATCGTCTAACTCCGTCCAGCTGGCTCAAGCAAGTAAAAATTTGTGGTGAAAGATTTTTCGGCAGAATCCATTCTTCTGTGATGCTATGATGTTGTTCCTCTCAAGGTATCCCATCGGCGCCTTTACCAGCATTCCTCCCATCACTTTGGATAAGACTAGGAGTAGGGTGATTAGACGGTAGTTAGAGGGATCCGAACGATTCCCATTCTTGTAAGTACTAGTGACTATTCCATGTTTCCACATTGTAGGTATCTGCAATGGGGCTACTAATAGCTCCATTTTGGCTCATCTTGTCTGCACTGGGCATCAGATAGAAGTGAATCGTGCCTTTCAGGTTACCAACAGGATTCCTCTGTGGCAATCAAGAGGCTTGCGCCTCCGTATGCTTTCGACGGCTGAGACAGTCGGTATTAGGTTGCTACAACCTCTATCATGTTCCTAAAAGTAATTAAAACAGACGCCGCAGCTGCCTCGGCCAGCGAAAGGGGAAGACGTCGAAGACAGTTGCACTGGATGGAAAACACAATCGCCCTAGCTTACATTGTCCGTCGGTTCCTGAATCTGGCAGGCACGTGGTTTGATTCAATTAAATTAAACTGAGCAATTTTACCCCAATGCTATATGTTGATGTGAGTGTATAGATTTGATGATGAGTGTTTACACCTCTAGCTCCATGTTCTTGCTACTTAAATGGGGATTTTCAAGTTGCTGAGATCTACATTTCCTCTAGGCTTCGTTGGAAAAACCGGGACAACGGTTTGGTAGCATTCATAGCTACCGTTTTTAATGCCTTCTTTCTGAAATTATCCACACCAGGACAGCTGTGTACACACATTCACAGTAGCCATTCATCACATTTGAAGCGGTGTAGAATATGTAGCTTAATCCTGGGGGCAGAGTGAACTGCATGATGAACGGGTGAGGTGACGATTCCCTTTGGGAAGTGCGGATAAACTGTTGCCGGAGCGCTTTCTCCGCATCTTGTGTAGTCTGCGCCAGATTATTTACTGCACCTAGAACTGAAATCTCGCGCTGCACTTTTCAGAGCTTGTTTATGTACCTGTAGGGCATCTTAAGATTAGTAGAGAGTTTCGTCGCAAACTCCTGTTGGTATCTGAGTTTGTCTTCGCGGATCAATTTGACAATGATTTCGCTTATTTATATAGGCATCCTAGGCTTGCGCAGCTAGACAAGCATTATTAGCGCACCACGCCGAGTCCCCTTGAGTCATGCATTTTCGTGTCCGGCTCCTCAGGAAGTACTTCGTCTGTTGCGAGCGAAAAACTTTGTTTTCTGACGCATTTGTCACTAGTTAGGTGAAGTGGGTGACAAGCTCCCTCCACGCGACTTCGGGAGGCTGCTCAGGAGGGAAAGATCAGTACGTTACTTGAACGAGGTCAGACATTGGCCGTAATGAGTGACGACGTGAAACTCCTCACTGTTTTCACATGTGTATTTCATGTGGCAGATTTAACGGAAGAGCAGCATCGTGTGATCGTTAAGGCCAAGCGGTGCACTTATGTTTACTGGATCAGCCATTGGTGAACACAAGGTCTAAGACGGACGGGTAATCGCCAGTTCTGAATCTCATGAGAGTGGTGGTGTGATTGTATAGCGGTATATCGGCGATTACTTCTTGCGACTCCTCTCTGAATTGTTCTCTATACGCTGCTTGGACTTCGATTGCATCCACCACCAGAAGGATGTGATTATATGACCTTACCGGGATTCGCCTCACAGCCGACGTCAGGCGGTGATCCATTCCCAGGGTGGAACTTGGAGGGAGGTAACTTATTACGACTAAACACACACACGTTTTCGGTGTAGGTGGCACCCGAGAGAGTGGACAGCCTGCGTATCAGGATTGTCTATGAGATCGACATGCAGATCAGATCTGTAACACAGGAGCACTCCGCCTCTTCTGCTAGGTCGATCGTTTCGTAATAGCGTCATGCCGAGCATGGCTCTCTGAGCATCAGTCGTTCAGGTATTCTGCTATGATTCGGTTGTTAGGACTATGTCCCACGAAATGGAAAACTCGGTTAACTTACTGGGAAGGCTCTGAGCATTGGTAAACAAGTAGGCGATGTTCTCAGGTGTTAGCAGTGTATATATAGCTGCGGCTTTCGGGTGACTGCTTACGGCGACCCTCGTGCACTCCACTATCG